AAATAATTATTTAACAGCCACTATATAATGCTATGGAGTAGGTTCAAGAGTGGTGAGGTAGAAAGACACATGGCTAGGGATTTGGGCGGTAGTGGGAGAAAGGACTAATGGATACTTGCAAGGAATATGGGAGTTGGGGGTATTTTATCCATGAATGGTAACACATAGCAACAGTTGCTACACAGCTTTGAGGATGCTCCTTTTTGGAGTTTTGGAAGCACATCAGGTACCAGATATATACTATTAGAGTGTGTCTGTCTGTAAGTCTGTTTGTTCAAGAACTCCTCCTAAACTATAAGAGATATGGCCACCAAATTTGGTACACAGCTTCCCCTTATCCTAATGTAAACCAAGGTCAGGGCTTGGTTGTACCTGGAAAATGGGAAGTGCCAGGAATGGGACTGTTTTCCATAACATGAAGAGGAAAGGGACAGAGAGGAGAGGGATGCAAAAGAGAGAGGCACAGAGAAGAGTGACATGATACAGAGAGTGGCCACTTGTGGCAGCTGCAGTAAAAAGAGTGACTATTTGTACCCTGGACCCCTTACACCATTCATCTGAAGAAGTAGGTTGTGCCCATGAAAGCTCATGATACCATGTACATTTTTGTTAGCTTTTAAGGTGCTGCACAACTATTAGTTGTTTAAGTTTTTTCAGTTACAGACTAACACGGCTACCCCTCTGAGATTTTTAAGACACAAGTAATTATCCTTTCTAGCTCCTGTGTCTTAGAAAAATCATAAAATTGGAAGGAACCTTGCGAGATCATAAAGTCTAGTACCCTGCACTCATGCCAGGGCCACCATCATATTACCATCCCTGACAGTTGTTCGTCTAGCCTGGTCTTAAAAGTCTTCAGTGATGAAGATTCCACAACCTCCCTAGGCAATTTATTCTAGTGCTTAACCACCCTGCCAGTTAGGAAGTTTTTCCTAATGTCCAACTTAAACCTCCCTTACTACAATTTCTTGTCCTGATGATAGGATAAGATGATAGGAGTTAAGAAAAATAATTTTTCTGCTTCCTAACAACCTTTAGATACTTCGAAGCTTTAATATCCCCCTCCCACCGTCTTCTTTTTTTTCCAGACTAAATAACCTCAGTTCTTTTAATCATCCTTTACACGTCATATTTTCTAGAACTTTAATAATTTTTGTTCCTCTTCTCACTACTTTTTCCAATTTGTTCACGTCTTTCCTGTGATGTTACACCCAATACCAGGATGGATAAAATCAATGTTTTAAAAAATGGATTTTTTTTAAAAACATCATAAAATACTAAGTTTTTCATTTAAAATTAACAGTTACAATGAAATCTCATCACCAACATGCTACACCTACATTTATAATTTCATAAAATGAATTAATTACTATAATCTGTCCAGACTAACTACTGGCTTTTGCTTCTTGACAGTTCTGGGCTTTCAATTGCTGTTTCTCAGCAAACTAAAAAGTAACATGTACTAAGAAAAACACAAGCTAGATAAGATTTTCTTTCTGTACTTTATGTCGCAGTGGACCTTAGCCAAATATGGCAAAAAGTTATTTGTAACCGTGTCTTATTTAGTAACTTAAATAATTCATTTTGCAATGCATCATTCTTCAAGACTCTCTCTATGCCTTTCAGTAGTAATGTGATTTGATAAGTAAACTCCCAAGCTGTTTTCCACGTTGGATGTTGCTAGAAAAACCCCCAGTGTAGCTAATCCTTATATCTTGTTTAATTAGTTAACTAGGCGTAGAATCTATCACACAAGTATACAGTACAGAAAGCTGCAGTAAGAGAAATCTAGAGTTGCTAACTGACCCTTATTTTCAAACATCATGGCCCCAGACCATAATCGTGATACCACAAGTCTATTATTTCCTATTTTACTTCAGCATAATCCAGCTTTTTCAAGGGAACCCTATTTTTTTTGTTTTCACAAAAAAAGAAGTGTCAGTGAGTTTAAGGTGGCTTACTTCAAAACTATGTGCACTCTAAGAGCAGTTGGTCTTAGCTTTTTTGGTAACCTGGAATCGGATCTGCATCCTTGCTGGAAAAACGTAAATGACTAACTGAATAGTAGAGTGAGAAGAACTGAGTAGAGCAACTATTCAAAATCATTTTTGAATTTTGTTTCAGGATACCATTTAAGCTAAAGACTTAAATTGTCAATCTACAACAACTTCAGAGTCATCTGCTGGTACTTTTAGCAAAAGTGCTACAACTAAACCATACTTCAACTAAACCAACTGAACAAATTGTCAGTAGCAAACAAAAAAATTTAAATCATCCAGTAAAACCACACCAGTACTCTAGATGAGCTCAGGCCCAGCCTTTGGGCAAGGCAAGCGAGGCGGTCGCCTTGGGCCTTGCACATTCAGGGCTTTCCGCTGCCCAGCTCCTGGCCCCGCCCACCCAGCCGGGAGCTATGTTGTCGTGCAGCCTTGGTCCCTGCACACTCTTCAGTCAGGCCTGGACGAGCAAATGCCAACAAGACATCACAGATGACAAGATTGCTTGGTTCATGTAAGCCACATATTCTCATTTTTGCATTGTTAACAATAACTTATCTATGATTGGTGCTGTTGAAATATAAATATTTGCCATCAACTTAACACATCTCAGCTGTTTTGCTGTTACCTTCTGGATGCCTTCCATTTAATTTCTGCTTGGTCAAAATGCAACTTCCATATCTTTCCTCCAGAGCTCTCTCCTGTGTCACAACTGACAACAGTCTCATTTTTCCTGCCTTAACAAGGCTGTAAAACCTTGGGAGTAATCTTGACACACTCTCTCTCACACACACTCCATGTATCTTGGCTGTTTCCAAATCTTATTGCTGCTTCTTTCATAATATCTTTCCTATCCTTCCTGCTCATAGCCAAGACTTATCTCCTGCTTTGATTACTGCAACTTTCTCCTTAATATTCACTTCATTCTCCGATCCACATCAAATGGAGCTACTAAAAACAGGATTTCCTTGCCCATCTCTCCAGTGATCTCTTTAAATTCTTCCACAGGTTTTGCCTCTTTCACTGTAACAAGTTCCTCTGCCTAACCTTGTAGACCCTTCAAACTCTGTCCCTTACTTTGGTATTCCCAGCCATTCTGTTCAGTCAATGACACCAACCTTCATCACCCACTTGTCTGCCCATTTCCACAAACATCTTCATCCTTACTTCAACGCCATCCATACAGGTGGATACTTCTCCTTTGATACACATGTTCTGTTCATTCTTCCTTTTAATCCTTTCTCCAGGCCCATTTGAGCTGTGACAGCTACAAGAAACTAGTCAACAATGGAAAGACTTGGGGCAGTTGGAAAATATTGCTCTTTCTATATACAAAAACTAAAAAAGATTGCAATATGAAAAATTTTTGCAAATATGAAAAAAATATATCAACATATCATGAAGAGCATACATTTAACTGCCCCCCTCTAACCAGTCTTTGTATATTACTTCTGTTACTATGGTAACATTCTGAGGCAGATATTATGTCTACTTCAACATCAGTACAGCAGATACCACAACCTCCAATTTTGATTGGTGCTGTTGAAATATAAATATTTGCCATCAACTTAACACCGAACCAGCTCTCTAGTGCAAAGAGCTGTAGTGCAGTAACATCCAGAAGAGCAACAAAAAGCTGGCAAGAAGTAACAGATCTGCACTTTAGGGAATGGCAGGAATTGTCACTTAGGCCCATATGCAGGAATTTCTCTGTGTGGGAGGAGCGGGTGCTTTTTTTTTTTAAATTATGTGGACTACAATTTTTTAAATATCAAGATAGTTCAAAATAGTTATGCAATGAGTGTGCATAAGAGAGGTTAATGGAAAATGTGAGTGGAAACAGTGATAGGTAATATGATTTTGTTCTAACATACTAAAAATGTATACAGTAATAAAGGTTTTATAGAAATCGCCTTCTGGGATCATGGTCAGCACTGTGGCTCCCTGGGCCACCTCTGCCTGCTGCTGCTCTACCTGCTTGGCGAGGCCAGTATTGGGTGAGTGCAGGCGTGGACTTCTGGCCAGCGGGTGTGGGGGCCATCCCCTTGGCCTTGCGGCACTGCCACTAGCCCCACCTGCCCATCACCCTTCATCACAGTGCTCTCCTGTCCCTCCTAACAGAGCCCCTCTTCCCCCACACAGAGTACATTCACACATACCTCCCCCCCACATATGGGCGTGGAGGTGGTTGTGCCTCTAGTACTATTTATATTTTACTATTAGATCACTGAAAGGATATTGCTATAAGAAGTTAAGTCACAACAATCTTCAGTGGCTCATAACAGCTATTTTCACCACAGAGAAAAAAAAACCTACACTACAAAAAAGCTGTGTTTTAAACAGAATGTGAGTGCACTCAACATTGCTCTTAGTAAGAAGGGCATGCACATAGATTACTGCACCATGCGCTTGCCCTCGGAAAACAATATATTGGCAGCTATTATACTTTAACATTTCAACAACTAATGGAACTGTAGTCAACCAAGTAGTGTATTAACACTGAAATGCTAAGCAACTCTACACTTGGCTCTGCAGTGCCTTTTCCCATATATTGACATTTACAAAGTTCCTTATGTCACACATCCCCTCCCCCTTACTGTATTGTACCTATAATAGAATTTTCTTGACTTATTAGAAATCCTCCTCACAGAGCATGAAAAAAATCCTTTCAACCCAATCTCTCATAAAAGGTGAAAATGGTTTCTTTGGAAAGTGAATAAATTGATAGGGCAGTGTTAATTCAACACATTTCCCATGAAGCAAGTAATATAATATAATGTCAACATAGTCATGAGTCAAGTGACATGTTTAATCAATACAACTGAAAATGTAAATAGCCAATAGTTAAACATCCATAATTTTGCACAATTTGCAAAAGATCTAAAAGCCCATTTCAGTATAACAAAGTAGCCTGAAAGGAATTTTATAAAGGAAAGAAAAATATGGAACACAACTGAAAAACATGAAGAAAACAAACAAAGAAGAAAACAAAGGCACACTTACTTCAGATTTGGAGGACATGTTTTCATCCATGTCAGAATCATTGGGATCCACAATATCATCAAATGGAGGTAAAGTGGGCTTTTTCTTTTCCAATGTCTCACTTTCAATTTTGACCTTCCCCATCTTAAGCTGAGACTTATCCCTTATTTGTTTTTTGTCAGCAGAACAAGTAAGTATCAGGGAGGAAGCACTAGAAAAACTTCTAAATAAAGCCTCCGAGCTACTTTTTTTCCGTTTTTTGGCAGTAAGTTCCTCAGAATCTGTAGTGAGGGGCCTTTTGGTAGAGGCCTTCTTTTCTTGTTGCTGTCCACCCGTCATAGTAAGGATGTTATTTTCAGATTTTGGCTCCTTGGACATGGGTTTGGGTTCCTTGAAGGCCATCTTAGGAACTATTTTTTCATCTTTCAGTGGTTTGTTTTCTTTGGGTTTCTTAGAAGATTCTTTGGAAGATTTGTTGTGTTCCCTGGAAGGTTCTTTGAAGGCACTTTTATGTTCTTTTGAGTCTTTAGATGGTTTTTCTTTGTGCTCCTTTGTTAATTTATGGGGCTTTGAAAAACTGTTACTACTGCTGCTGCTGTTTGTGTTTATATTCTTACTGGGGTCCTGCAACAAGGATAAGCACACAGGAGATTTAAAATAAAGACAAACAGTACAACTTAAAAGTTTAAACTAAGCACCTTGATTACAAAAACTGTATAATTTGTTCACTCTAAGAAAACATTCATAGCTTAAAACTGTTCTTCTAGGTTTACCCTTCTTTTAAAAAAAAAAAAACCTAGTTTTTTTTCAAACAACAAAAAAAACCCCTGATCTTAAGAAACATACCGCTGATTTATTTTGAAGAGTAATAAGTGGTTATAAAAAGTGAACTTTTTCAGTGAGTTGTAGTGAGATAAGAGCATCTAAGAAACTGCAAAATGCGCCTCTAAATTGTTTGGCAGATAGAGAGGCCAATTTTAACTTCTGAACTCTGTTGGATGTAAGTAGTAAAAATGAGAAGAACACACTGTGAGGAAGTGGGGAGTACAAGAGGGGACTGCATGCAGAGGGGGCACTCAGTGCCCAGATGTTACTGGTTTAATGTGACAAGGGGGAAGGAGTTTGTTGTTTCAGAGAACAGCCCAGAACTGGAGTCCCGACCACTGGTGCCCAGGTGACCAGCTGACCCCGCTCCGAGGACACAACCAGTTTCAGCCAGACAGCAGACAATGGGCTGCAGAGGGGAGAGCCCAGAGACTAACCCAGCTGGTGTCAATGAGGAGAGAACATTGGACGGATGAGCAGAGAGGCAGAGAGGAGGGGGCCCAGACAACCCTTTTACCTGGAGAGAAGACAGCGGACTGAGGAAGGGCTGTCGCTGGGGGTATTGGAGGCTCTGCTGGAAGACTGTTGGGAACACTGTTCAGGACTGAGAGCAGAGCAGGCAGGACTCACCTAGCTGCAGAGGAGACTGACATGCGGGGGTGTGGGCCCAGGCCTACAGGCCTGAGAGATCCTTTGCTGTGTTCAAAGCTCAATAAACCCTCCTGTTTTGTGCTGGCTGAGAGTCGCTCTGGTCTAGAGAACAAGACTGCACTATTCCCTGTTGGAGTAGAGGTCCCGTGGGTCCAGAAGAAATGGACCCATTGGAGGGGCTCATGGTGGAGGCAAGAATGCTGAAAGCCCTGAGAAGCACCGTCCCAAAGGTGGAGGAGCGGACCCCCCAAGAGAGAGTAGGCACCCCAAAAGAGGGTTGCTACACTGGAGTGGACTCCCTGAGAAGGGGTTGCTGCACTGGGGAGTGGGGGTCCTGCCTGGGGATAGACAGGCCGAGCGTGGGCACGACCTGTGACACACACAAAAAAAGAAAGTTTAGGAATGTCTACTGAAAAATGTCAAGTGTGAAAAGCAACAGTTATGACAACATGGCTGCTAAGGAACCTGTACTTTAGAGCACAACCACCATGGGAGGGTCAGAATTCATGTTGCCCCTGTGAACATTTCAAGCAAGGTCTCATATCCTCCCTGGTTGCCTTAGTCAAGTATTCTTCGTGTGTGTGTGGTGGGGGGGAGGGGAGCAAAGCGGAGAGAGGAGAGGAAGGACTGTGAAGTAGACTGTGCTAGGGGAAGAAAACGGTTACCTGGTTCCACTTCATCCTACTGCTGTTTTTTCCCCTGGGGTTTGTTCATGTTAAGTATTTCCTTACGTTTCTAATTTCACCTTTGATAAATAATGGTATTAGATTTTGAGTAGTTCTAATGTTTAAGAAGTTCTACGGGGTAAGAAAATGGCAGCTATGGTGTGCAATGTGCTTTGCCCAAAGTTGCTATTGTAAAAATCTAGGTGACAAAACATATGGTAGAACCAGCATCTTTCAAGTGGTACCAATAGAAAGTAAACCACTAAAATGCTCTTTCTAGGACTTTGTTTCATATGGCATGACCCCATCATTTCCTGGCCTGATGCTGACTTCATCAGCAGTTCACAGGGATAGAAACTGCTAAGAAACCCTGAAAAAATCATTAGGGGTTTCAATACCAAATGCTTCTAGTAGTTATCTCCCAAAACAAGTTTTCTTTTACTGAACTAGTAATTTTGAAAGAACAAAAGCCCAATTTCCAAGTACTAACAAATTCAAAGTACAATTATTTTCTTATAGTTTGATTGAACTACAATATCTTAGAGTAAACATTTTTATTCACGTATTGTATTCTTAACTGTTAAACAGATTTTGATGAAGAAATGCATACAATTGAAGTAATTTTCAAACTGCCAGGGAATTTCCTTTCTCCATGGCAAAAATAAAAATCTAAATGATGTAGAAATAAAAATTAAAAACAAAACAAAACAATTAGAATTTAGTGGAACCAAGGGGAGTTTTGGATGTGCAAACAAAAAACCCCAACCTACAAAATCCTGTAATTAGGGGGTTGTGAAAGAATGATGTAAAACAGTACATACACAGATATTTGTACACAAATAGGATTCATTTACTAGCAACATGCACAATCATTCCAATATACCATAATACTCTTTCCTTCTACTTCAAAAGCAACAACAGAACCCAAATGCAAGCAGTGAATTAAATCAGTAAGATCATCTAGTTCACAAACAAAACAATTACTGGGACAGCACAATGATTCCAATACTGTATTTGAAAATACTGCCTTGAACAGTTTTTTTCACCAATTTTTTTCAGCAAAAGATGGAAAAAATATCGAGCACCACAGATTTTGCAAAACTGTATCATGGTATGTATGTAACATTTCCCTAACTGCCATGTTAACTAAGAAGTTTGGACCCTATAGCAACATCCTAATTTTCCCCCCACAACTGTAACTGCCAGCACTGTTTTTACTAAGCATTTAATCTTTCTTACAATCTTGCTAAGCAAGCTATTTCAACAATATCCAGCAACAGACAACATTTGCAATATGTGTAGTTACCTACTGTGAGTTGAATTATGTCAACTAAATGTCTGCATTTAACCTGCTTGGGGGCAGCTTGCTACCAATTTTGAATGTCAGATAATTAAGCTTATTGTTATAAAATATATATTTATAAGGCTAATTGTGACGCTGGTAAGCCAAGTGCCAGCTTTGACGAATGCCATAGGGCAAGGTGGGCAATAATCATAGTAGCCCTGGGCCATCCCATAAGGGGTGAAGCCTCAGGTGCAAAAGGCAGGGCCAGAGTACTTCCATGCTCCCTGCCAACAGACCGATTAGTCTGGGGGCAGAAGGAACATGTGAAGTCTTTGCCCCTCCCGTCCCCCCCACCTCCCAGGACCTAGAGAGAAACACCAGCTGTTCTGAACAGCTGTCAGTTCCTCCTAGGGGCCATGTACCCCTGGCAGTGGAGGAGACTTCATGCACTCCCCCCATCCCCAGGCCAATCAGGATCTGGGGGAGAGGGGAATATGTGAAGTCTCTCACCCCCTGCACCTATCCCACAAGTGGTGTGTGGCACCTAGAGTGAACTGCCAGCTGTTCAGAACAACTGGCAGTTCTCTCTAGGCACTGCGTGTCCCTGGTGGGGATGGAGACTTCACACGCTCCCCCGTCCCCAGGTTTCAATTGACCTTGGCAGGCTGACTGCAGCCCATGGAGGCTCTCTTGCCTACCCCTGCCACAGGCATTAGCTAAACATCACAACTTCACAGCTGGAAACCAAACCAACAGGTTAGTTTGGTTTAATATAGGCATTAGTGATATAAGACTATATTTAGTGTTTAGACTTTATGAAAGGCCTGTAAATTGCTGTATGCATTGCTTTCATTTATAATATCTGTACTCTGTGCTATTAAGGAATATGTATGCTTTGGTTTGTAGCTTTTAAAACATTTATTCTGAACTTGTGAAGTGATCCACAGGAATTGTCCCCTCCCCTCACCATCAATCCAGGAGGACTCTGAGAAATTAAAGAGGCCATTATAAACGACAAAAGCTTTGTTATTTTCCTTATCCACCACTAGAAAAGCACAAGTTGAGGGCACTGACATGAAGATTTTTCATCTCTTTGCTCCTTGAACTCTCACAGGGCTAGAGAGACTAAACTAAGGCCAAATCTACATTGGCACTGTACAGTGCTGTAACTTTCTGGCCATGGGCAGTCAGTACAGCAAGTCTGGGATAAGCAAGCCCCCAAACTCACCTACAGCCCCGAACCCCTGCTGAGACACCACCCCTACCATGGGGAGAGGAGGAAGCGAGCAAACGCGCCCCAGCCTCCCCAGTCCAGAGTACCAGGGAAGGAGGAGGGTGCGTGGCCAGAGTCCCCCCAGCTTGGAGCACTGGGAGGACAAGCGCTGGGAGCAGCAACACTCCGCCCCCAGAATGCCTACAGCAGACTCTCTGGGGGCGGAGTGTGGGCGGGGCCATGCCTAACAGTTTGGGAAGGCAGAGTCTTTCCTCACCAAGACTACTGGTGTCCACGTTTCTGGCTCAGGAGTGTGAAAAACACGTCCTTCCTCAGAGCTCCGCAAGTGAGTGTGAACCAGGCTATGTCTCTCTCAGCACCATTGTCAGCTACTGCTCAGAGGTGGCTTACAGGAAGTACTAGGAGACCTCTCTTCCAGCAATCATACTTTAGCCACAATTTCAGTTTAAAGTGCTGACACGGCTAACCTTTAAGCTATTATGGGTAGACAAAGCCTCAGGCAGATATCTCCAAGAAATTGGAGAGATCATGTCTTCCTTTGCTGCCAAGACAACTACATTAGTGTGGATCTCATCTTCATAAGAATCAGAATATTAAGAGAGAGTTAAGCACGCAGACTAGTGTATTTTCATTATACCAGCAATGTTCAGCTTCATTCATGCCTTTCTTGCTAGCAATCTGTAAACATCTTTAATTAGCTGAAAAGTTACCACCCACAATTTATGTTTGAGCCAAGTGCAGGTAACTTGAGATCAATAGGAGGTAGGAGATCAATTTAGCCAGTGATCTCTCAGTTAAAAAAAATATATTGGAAAGAGATCATTAAAATCTTCTTGAAATTTGGAAGTGAAGGAGAGCTTGCTAAACAAGGTCTCTAAGTGTAGAGACCAATGCACAGGCAAGTCTACACTAGAGGAGAAAGTTGACCTAAGATAGGAAACTCCAGCTATGTGAATAGCTTCGG